TCCGCACAGTGAATAGAGGGGAAAATCTCATCCCCTTCTCCCCTCACACTACTGAACCAAACGAAGGAAAATAAAAATTTTCCCCCACCCCCTTCCCCTTCCCCTTCCCCTTCCCCCAGCTTCCCTCGAAATGTGGGTAAGTGAAGAAATGAGAGCATCTCAAATGAAAATTGTGTTTTATGTGTAACATGGTGAAGGAAAGTAAAAAATTGTGCTTTCAATGGTTTGTGTTAATTGCAGTATCATTTATGATGTATAAAATTATAATTGAATGGACAAAAGATAAGTTGAATAAACAACATAATATATAATACAAGTTGTCTATAAAAGTTTTTACATCTAAAAAATTTTCTAGACATTTTCCATGCAACATAAGTTTTTTTTTTGAGTCGTTTGGCAACAAAATAAAACAATGGAAAGATAATTAGAGATGCTCTGAAGATGAGTAGGAGGCGTAAATTGTTACAGTCGGTCATGGCCAACATCTTAGTACTAAGTGCGAAATTACACGGGAATCCTACGAAATGATATGTATTATTCAGTTCTTACAAATAATCTAAAATGGAAAATTACAATTGAACTGAAAATAAATTACAACTGAAAAACGGAAAGATTTTAGCCGAGGCGAGTAAAACTCTTTCCGCAAGAAGAATACGCCTCGTGTGGTGCTACCGGTTCAGGCGTAACTTTCCTAAAGATACAACGACAAACGTCTCCAAATCTGTAGCACACCAGATTTACGAACTCCGGTGAACGGGAACAGAATAGAGATATATCACTTGTTTCTTCTCTTTTGATATTTTTATATCCGATATTTGGACATATATCTTTCTTTTCTTTCATTTCTCTTCCTTTCTTCTCTCTTTCTTTCTTAGTTCTTTTTCGTTATCTTCTTCTTCTGGTCGAAGGCCTTTTTATAGGGAGATTTTGAGCGAGTAGATGCTGAAGCAGATGGCCAAGTTGCGTATGGATCTCTATAATTTCACATTCATTAGCAAAAATTCATCTTCACGTGTAGGATTCATGCCAAGTTGATTAATTTATTAATAAAGGCATGTGAAGGCATGTGCAATGATCACATTATTTTCGCTCAATGGCTTACAATCCCCCACATGAGTGGAAATAAATGTATGCAGTCTAGTGTGCTCAATTCTCACAGAACTTTATTGCATCAGAAAAGGTAGATTGTGGCTTTGAACCTTGCTTAGTAAACATCATCGGATGTATTGGCGGCATAGTGGACTTAATGCCTTGAACTATTCCTTCATAGTGAACACCTAGACAATAACATTCACATACTAGAGTCTTAACTCCATTCCGTTCTAACGCCGTGTCCGTTTTGACCATGGACAACACAATGGATTCATAAGTGTTTACATTTGAAGCGGCCCACACTTCACACTTATATAGGTGACCTGCCTATCAAGAGAATCATGTCTTACTCCACCTTTACAAGGTTAGGGATTCATTAAAAGTCCATATGACTTACCCTCACCACAATCAATAGGTAATCTTGCACTTGGAGTGCTCTAGGGAATAGCTTTGGACATTCATAAGTTTCAAGTGCTCGACTGAATTTTCATAGCTTAATTTTCCCTTTGAACCAAGTTTGTGGGATCTCCACTCAGCATGGTAGGGTTACTACTATGATCATTCTTTACATTGTGGATTTTTAAGCCCATTCCCTCTAGCAATCTTCCCAATTGATCTCTATTCAATCCTTTCGTCAAATGATCAGCCAAATTTTTCTTACACTTCACATAGTCAATGGAAATAATATCATTTGTGATCAATTGGCGTATGGTATTATGTCTACGACGAATATGTCTAGACTTACCGTTATACAAGTTACTTTGCGCCCTACCTATAGCAGCTTGGCTATCATAGTGAATCATCACAGGCGGAAAAGTCTTATCCCAACATGGAATATCAGATAAAAAAATTCTGAGCCACTCGGCTTCTTCACCAGCTTTATCTAAAGCGATGAACTTCGATTCCATTGTCGACCGAGCTATACACGTTTGTTTTGTGGATTTCCACAAAACTGCACCTCCTCCAATACAAAATACATATCTGCTAGTGGAGCGAGAATCTCTCGAATTTGATATCCATCTTGCATCACAGTACCCTTCAAGTACAGTTGGATATCTCGAGTATTTTAGCCCGTATTCAAGGGTGTACCTCAAGTACTTAATTACCCTTCTCAAAGCATTCCAGTGTTCATGACTGGGATTGCTCGTAAATCTGCTCAACTTATTCATTGGATAGGCCAAGTCTGGTCGTGTAAAATTTGTCAAGTACATCAGACTCCCTATTATCCGTGAATATTCCAACTGAGCCACTGGTTGACCTTTGTTGACTTCCAGATTTATATTGAGATCAAGGGGTGTTTTACACCTAGGCTGTGCACCGTCATAGGTATCAAATTTCTTGAACACTTTCTCTACATAATGAGATTGTGACAAGACAATTCCATCTTGGGTTCTGATAATCCTTATCCCAAGAATAACATCAGCCAAACCCATATCTTTTATGTCGAAATTTCTCTTCAACATTCTTTTCGTATCCATGATCACTGCATGGCTACTCCCCATGATCAACATATCGTCTACATATAGACATACAATCACAAATGTATTTGATGCTGTCTTGACATAAACACATTTATTACATTCGTTGATTTTGAAATCATTTGTCAACATTACATCATCAAATTTCAAATGCATTTTTTCGGAGGTTGTTTTAGTCCGTACAAGGATTTGATTAATCTACACACCTTTCTCTCTTGTCCAGGTGCAAACAAACCCTTCAGGTAGTTCCATGTATATTTCTTCTTCCAATTCACCATTCAAAAATGACATTTTGACATCCATTTGGTGAATCTCAAGATTGTGCAAAGCAGCAATCGAGAGAAGCACTCTTATCAACGCTAAACGCGTAACTGGTGAATAGGTATCAAAGAAATCATACCCTTCCTTTTGTTTAAAGCCTTTGACCACCAAACGTGCTTTAAACTTGTCAATCGATGCATCAGCTTTGATATGGTCGTTAGTAGTGGCTCGTGAAGAACCGGTTGTGGTCCGGTCATCATTGTCCATATGAAGGGAATCGGTTAAGCATTATGGTAGTCGGCGGTTGGGAGTGCTCGGCGTCGCACGGTGTTCGGCGCCCCTCGAGTGCTCGGCATTGGAGGTGGTCGGGATGGAGTGTCTGACGCGGCACCATCCGGTATGATGAGTGCCCGGCGTAGGATGAATGTTCGGCGTGGGCGAGTGCCTGGCGTGGGAGAATGCTCGGCCAAGGGAGGTGCCTGGCGGCCCTCGTGTGTTCGGCGGCCCTCGCATGCCGTCGAAGGGGCTAGAGCCTGAAGATGGCTTCGGGATCAAGTTACGGAGGAGTTGGTAGCGACTAGGACTCTCGGGATTCAGAAGACCTTTCAACCTAATGGAGAGTCTGATATGAAGAAGACTTCTTATCCCACTAGGACTCTCCCTATTTTTTCTATAAAAGGGAGCAGGTTCTTTCATTTTACACAACACACATTTCACAAACTATCTCGTTACTC